ACAAATCACCAAAAAATCACACTGTACTGTGGTGCTGAGAACAAAGCTTTTCAAATTCCAATCAATCTTCGTTGATGATACATTCTACGGCGGCAGACTATATGGAGGGGCATGAAAAGGTACTCCGTGATTGTTTACGCAGAAGAGGCTCCGTGAGACGATGTAGAGAATAAAGCTTTTGGTAGGTCACTTGAGAGACGTGAGAAATTTGCGTCTTTTGTGGCATGTGCAAGTGTGAAAGGTTCTTGATTCAATTTGGTCGCATGAATCAGAATACATGTCCTTGGCAACTCTCTCTATTGACACGCACAAACGCGCTGCACCATTCAGCTCAAAGTCATTGTTCACTCTGACGCTGAACTCTCATCTTATGTCACTGCTGCCCAATGGAATCGACTCGTTTGACATCTGCTTTGGTGGGGTAGATTTGGATAAGAACCCGCCTGCTTTCGTTCATTTTTCCAGCTCCCATCCCTTGCTGGCTCCAGGTTGTGCCATCTGTCTCGCCCTACTGCTCTTTTCTCCGGCGATCCCTCCCTTCGTTACTTCCTTCGACAGGAATATTCAGCTGTTGATCAGCTCGAACTCATCGGCGTTCTGCATATATCTCAACTCTATCACCTAGTTCCGAACCTCTCATCTCTTGGAACATGCCACGCGCAAAATCAGAGAAACGCTCCCGCCTCACCAATGCAGCCAAGAAACCCTACGAAGAACACGATCTGCCGGAATTCAAAATGCAGACGCGCAGAAGAATTACATATTTTGACCGTACGATGCAGTAATCCGTCGACGTCAGTTCACACTTTTAACAGCTCATTTGTTTTCCATATACAAGGTGTCATAGTCGGATTCTTCGCTATGCGCTCGCTACCTGAGGAGAGTGAAATTTCGCTTGATGATCTCATGCAGATCAGTAAGTCTGCGATGTTTCCAATTGCCAGTGACATCAAAACTCACATGCTCCTGCTCGAAGTTAATGAACAAGCAGAATCAAACGGAGAGATCCTAGGAAAGCGAATGGGGGACTATATTGAAGCTGCTTTGTACAGGCTAGTAAGTCGTCGAAGGATTTGCCATGCGCCACTGAGTTTGGACCCCGTATGTGTTAGTCCAGGGACAGATTCATCACTGATCTGCCTGAGGATGAGAACAATAATATAAATTTCATGATTAATCCCGATTTTCGAGATTTGTGGGTTGCAAACAAACCATCCAAATTGATCTGATACTTACATTATGCTCATTGAAATTCAGGCTCTCGATGATCAACGAACAAATATCGGCCTCGGACCAATTTACATCTTCGTCTGCTTTCACCCTGCAGCAGTATGGGGCTGTATGCGCCTACTTTCATGACTTCCTCACGGATAAGAGGTTCCTTTTGGATAAAACTCTTACTAAACCGGAGGTGAACAAGCAAATTCGTTTCTTACCTTCAGTCATTCACTGAATGATCTCTCGACTTCAGTTAAATCATTCGGCCCGTCGTCTCACGGCTATGATTGATGCCAGGACTCGAGCCCGCCGCATGCATACCTCACCTTCCAGGGCTCCTATGGCTGACGGGGAATCCAGGCGTGCGGATTGCGCCCCTGACGACGGTTTATCCGATGAGATGGATATCGACACTGCTCCTCGAGCGTCCGGGAGCTCTAGCGCGTGAGACAGACCCTTCGTCCTTGAAGTGAGGCCCCGCTGATTTTTCATTATAGATTCCAGACACCCCTTCGCAAATCGTCCACACTCAACCAGATTGGAGCTTACCCATCCCCCTTGTCGCTTCCCCGTCGAGGAAACTCGGGAGAACCTTGTTCGGAGTCGCCTCTTACTCCGCTACGCAGCCATTTTAATGGCGGGATGACTGCCAGCGGTTCATCGGATGAAGCAATAGATTATATGGACACGGCCACGGAAACTGGGTCGATATCAGTTCCCGACACGGGTGTTCCTCTTTCGGTCTCTCTGCCGCTCAGTGAACTTTCAGAGGGTAATTGGACAAATGTAAGTACGATATGTTTCCATTTCTGTCGTCAATGTCGTGTTTTGAAGGGTTCGATTGATCTAACCTTGCACACCTTTTTTCGCGTATGATTTTCATAGGACCACATCAGCTCCGCGATTGCCTCATTTTCGATTGCCAACCAAGAATGGGTGCGCGGCGCCATCTCATTGTTCAAGAACCAGAACCTGGTGCGCTTGTCTTTCGAGGCTTCAGCCTTTCGCTTATCTCCCCTAATCTCACTCGCTATTCAGAAAGCACGATCTTCCGCTGTGCGTCAATTGTGGAAACTCAGTATTCGACACGTTCAGGCGGAGAACGCGTTGAACAAAGCAACTGCTTCTGGAAAGCTCTCTGCGCGCACTTTGAGAGGCGTTGTCCGGGTACTCCACCAGCAAATTTCGGAGGTTTACCGCACGATTGGTCAGTTCGCACACCGAAAGCCATGATCCTGCATACTATATAGACCTACTTGGATTTGACTCTCATGATAATTATCTATTTCGCCGTGAAAACTACTACGTAACCTCAATTTATACTGAATTCAGGTTTAATGATAACAGAGCAAATAAACAGGAGTGGTGATTATTGCAATCCGAAAGCGGGAATTAGTATGCAGCATTACGTGGTCTATGTGGTAGTGAGATAAAGATAGGTATCGAGGAGTACTTTTAAAGATATGCACGGGCGCTTCTGCGTGCCATCTAAGAAAGGATATCAGTGACATACTTTAGCCCTGGATGTAGAAGAACATACCTCAATGATTTTCCATCCGCCTGTTAGTTCGTCGTCTAGTTGCTCGGGGATACGAGTTATCGCTGCAACGTATGTACATTGCTCAACTTTGTTTTCTGCGCCGACAACAATTTCGGCTGTCTTTGCATTTCGGAAGAGCAGCATTTCCTGAGTCGCGAATGAAACCAGGAAGACAGGAACATCATTTTCCAGGATTTTAGCGTCTTGAACCTGAATGAACGAGATTAGATACAATTGCTAGAACTTGAGAGGCGATGCATACATCAACTTGTCGGATATCAAGAACTTTGCTATCGCTGATCAGGCCTTGTCGCAGGAAGTGCTCCATGGTAGCCCATAGGACATTGTAAGTCTGGAAATTGATAAATACACATTCTCACACTTTTCAATGAACATGCTTACAGCCTCTCCGCACCATGCCTTCAACGCTGCCTGATCCGCAGATAGGTAGGCATCCACTATTTCGGGAACAATATACTCGCGCAATTCCCGTTCAAAGCTCTCCCGGTTGAAATCGGGGTCCATGCTCTTCATCAAGCGCATTACTTGGGCCGTTTCATTCTCGTCGAACCAGGTGCCAACAGTTTCCGTTACTGAACGCACAGACGACACAACGGGATTTTCTGACTCGTCATACGCCTGGCGCAGTTGAACCAGAGTTCTTAGAACAGGATTTGTCTCCTTCAGTTTATTCCACGCTTCTTGCTTTGGCGAATCTTTGTGGAGTACCATTGCCTGGCCAGCCCTATGGGTCACGTAAAAGTCACAGTAAATTCATGAGTCCGGGATACTGCCTCATTTCACGTACTCAGGATTTGCACTGACGCGGCTGGGCCCCAGACCTGACGCACGACCTGCTTTAGCCAGCCGTTTTTGCCTTCGAAGACGGCGCGCTTCCTTCTCCTCGAAACCAGCGTGCTTTGCGCTACCACTGTCGTCTAGTGCGTCCACTAAAGTTTCTGCGAGTGTTTTGTAAGCCGCGGTCTTCCGAATGGGCTCAGTTGATTTCTCGACAGCAGAGGATACCGCTGAGGATGCGCGTGATATCTAAGGAGAATAGGAAGTTAATCGATGTCCTTGCACAGGAAGAGTGTCGCATACAGCGCGCATGAGTTCGCTCTCCTCCATCCCCTTGAGAGCTTCCGAAACGGCATCCCCGACCTTAACACCAGTCTTCTTTAGTTCCTCCGCGGCAGCACGCAGTCGGGGATTCTCTTTGATACTTGAAGTGAGCTGGATGGAGAGGTCAGCTTGATTCTGAAATTCAAAACGAAATTTACCCACTCGTGCGCGTTCATATGCCGCCTTGGCCTGTTTCATGGCTTCGGAATCCTGGAACTTTTCGACGTCACCCTGAAGCTGCTTAACGTTATCCTGAAGTTCCCTGTTCTTCCGTAGTTCGTCCTTGAGAACATCGACAAAAGTCTGAAATGGGGATTTGGGGGCTTCGTTATGCTGCCGAGATGACGAGTGGAAGGCAAGCCGCTGTGAAGCAGCCGCTATCCGGAAGGGCGGGGCATGGGCAAGGTGACGTGCCGTTTGACTGCTGGCCCTGTTTGCCGTGCGAGCAGCAAGGCTTTGGAGGTTCCTGGGTAGCATAGTGGGGAGAAGAAAATATGTTTTGGTGCCGTTCACCGTCACGGTCTGCGATCGGCCGGAGTAAATGCCCAAATTTCGACTCTGCCCGATTCTCTCATCACGTGGAATATATTCATTGCCCCTTTGAGCGCGCGCCGCCCGTAGCAATTTGTTACAATCTAGCAACGTCACAAGTACTAAGGCTGTCCTATATCTACGGAGGGTATGTAATGGAAAAAGCAGGTACATATAGCTTCTTGAGCGTCCATACCATACGCTGTTTTTGTTGAGATCAGACTGCTCCTCAGTTTATGAAATGAGGCAAGTTTTCAGGTGACAGGTCTTCACAAGGTCTTCATAAAACTAGAATCATTCGTACTCACAAGTATGATGCGCACGCTTCGCGACTGATGAAGTGATAAGATCCATTTCAAATAAAGCATCGCCCTTGGCGATGAGGCCTTGCTGGTGGGTTACGATAAGATAATCATGTAATTACTCAAAAATTACCAGCCGAATCGCATCGCCTAAAAATTGTATTCACATCCCAGAAACAAACTTGAATTTCCCAGTGAAAGATCCTTTCCAAACAGACAGCGAACGAATAGAATGTTTATTAGTATCAGTCATTGACGATGTGATACCCATGTTTCCATCACTTACCGGCCTGGTGGTCTAGTAGCATGATTCCTCCTTTGGGTTTTCACTTCGAATGGTGGAGGTCCCGGGTTCAATTCCCGGTCAGGCCCTTTTTGCCTCATTTTCGATGTTCTGGAAATACACTTACCAATTGTAGTAATGATTGCCTAAAATGAAGGATATCGGCCTGATGGTCTAGTAGTATGATTCCTTGTTAGGGCAATAATTGCACGCTTCGAGGAGGTCCCGGGTTCAATTCCCGGTTAGGCCCGATGTTTTTGAGTGTTTTTCGTTTGGATGCTCTTACCATTTGCGGTAATTATTGCCGTAAACAGAAGTTTATTGGCCTGATGGTCTAGTAGTATGATTCCTTGTTAGGGCAATGATTGCACATATCGAGGAGGTCCCGGGTTCAATTCCCGGTTAGGCCCAATGTTTTTGGATGTATCGCTTCACATGGTACCTCCTACCAACTTCCAAGTTCCAAGTCTGTTTGAACTTTGAATTTTGAAACTCAAGGAATCGTCGATTCGTGACCACTGACGGCGCGACGGCGATCGCCGACTCTCGACGCGGGACGGAGTTTCGAACTTGGTGCCAGGTAAACACCATGGTGCTACCGTCGACGTGAACTTCGAAGTTCGGATTCCAGAGTACTTAGACAGAAATTTTATATCGATATTGCAACTGTGCATCGGTCAGTGACTTCCCCCCAATCACATAATTGTGAATCGTGATACTCTTCTCAAATTCCGTGGATTGAAGGCAAAGTGAGGGCTTGTGCTGTTCCAAATTGCAAAAGATACATGTCACATTGCTATAGGCGGCGAATCAGCAAGATAACACTAGTATGAGCAAGATAACACTAGTATGTCATATTTATACTGCCTGCCAGCTCCAAGATTCACAAAAGAAGGGCAAAATCTTGTTTTGCTGGTACTGACAGACACCCTAAATCGTAAGCCAAAAATCAAACAATACTAGTATACGCGACAGCTGTGTCCATGATATCCCAAACACTCCGCTGAGAACTTAGAAGGTGAACCGCGACCCCGTTCATGGTTTATGGCCATATTGTGATACTGATACTACATAAATTGATACTACAAGATTCATGGGTATTTGCTGTGTGTTTTTGAGTTTAGACCATCACTATTCTGAATGGAAAGTTGTATGCTTTCTTTAAGTGAAAGATGATCATGTTTGGATCATGTTTGCTTTTATACCGCACGAGGAAAGGCTTACTATTATCGGAGCGGTCAATTGAGTTCTCGATTTACAGCGGCCTGATGGTCTAGTAGTATGATTCCTTGTTAGGGTTTGTCCAATATCGAGGAGGTCCCGGGTTCAATTCCCGGTTAGGCCCGTATTTTTTGTTTTCGCCACTTAGAGTAGTGATAATGATCCATCACTGATCAGAGACAAGTTTGAACTTTGAAGTCACAAGCCGCAGTCACCCTGACGTCGCAGTGGAACACAGCCTTGCAAAATGCCTTGCGCCGCTAAATATCTCGTTCTTTGGCACTGCTCGTCGTTGTCTTCGCTATCCCCAGTACTGCGAACGCGACTGCAGTGAGACTTTCGGCCGCCCTTTCTATTCTGGCACGGTAAAGCTAACTAGAGTTCAAGCCCAAGTTCAGCGCTGTTGAGTGTTTTCAACTTATTCAAGCCTTGCTACTTACCAACGATCTGTAAGTAGCACTACTGCGCATGGCTACCGAGCCGTAATCCCTGATCCTTGCCGCTCACAGGTTATAACGCGCAGCTTTTCACTTTGACGTTGATCAGTCCCCGCTCAACCGTGCAGACGCGCGGCGTGTTATAAACCCTAATGATCATCGAGTCACAAATCAACCCTTCCCTCATGGCTGAAAAAACCGAAGCTTCAGACAAACCACCTGCTTATAGCCCCGTCCCGGATGGATTTCCTGGCGGCAGTATGTCCAGCCGTCAGCAAGAACAAAGGAGGCGCCCTATTCAACCCCCTCCCGCCCCTATTCTCAGCGTGAGGGAGCAACGTGCTCGTCACGACCAACACCCAATGACACGCCATCGCGCTATTCCTCTTCCTTCTCCCACCATGGATCAGATTCATATATTCGACAGGAAACATAATATTGAAGGTGCGGTCATGTCTCTCTCCGCTGCCTATATTGTTCATCCTTCCTTCAGGCACATATTATGTCGACCCACAGGTTCCTATGCTCGATCCCAGTAAACGACAGAAGGAAAAATCTTCAGAACCTTTCCCGAACGCCTCATTCCGAACAGTGCACGACAACATCGATATACACCTTGCCACCACTGGCGATGCTAGAACACATCCTAAGGCTAATATCCGTGTAGGCACTAAAGATGGGCTGGTGAAAGTTACTCTTGTATGTCAATTGTCGACTTACCTCTATATATACGTGCTGAGTGGTGCCAGCTTCCCTTTGCTCCGTCAAGACCGCGCATCGGGCTGAACATGTTCTCTCGGCAAGGTGGGACAAAAGAAGACCCAACTCGAATACCAGCGCTGATATCTTTTCTCACAGGCAATGTAGTCCTCTTGCTTCCCACAAATTTCGTGGGTGTCATCCAACTCTCTACGAAGAAGGGTGCTGTCGACATCCTACCGGCTTTAACGCGTCGCATGAAAATCGTCAAGTCGTCGGAGCACGACTTCATAATCATGGTCGGGAACGCGAATGAAGATCCCGATGGCGTGCGCGAAGTATCTTTCTGTGAGCTTGTGTCACGGACTGGCAATGTCATTGTCGGCTTGGATGGGCAAGACCAATACGTTCCCCCAGTCGGTTTCTGGAAAAAGCTGACCGGGGCACTCAAAGGATCGCACCAGCCCTAACAGTCATCTGCATCATACCTGCTCTCTCCGTGTAATTCCTGCTTATTTTCTCAAGATTCCCTGTTATCTCTCCCCTTATCTATTAATATTGCATTTCGCCTAACACATCTCTGTACCAGACTTGTGTAGTACCTTGGATCTCTTACTGCGCCACCACTCCAAACTACAGGAACGCTGTGCCCTAATTCGAGTTGCTGTTGACATATAGAGACCCAGATTTACGCTGGGTAGATAATAATAATTGTGAACCTCGAAATTTGCGTCGATCTCTGCCTATTCAGCGAGCACCCAGGCTCACTCAGGTCATGCGCACGACCTCGCGCAGATGAAACTGGTACGAAGCGGCAGGTGATCTGGGAAACCGACCTCCCCGGGGCCTTGGAAACAGCGCCGTAGACCAAGGGGGACCACGATCGGGCGCGCCTCACGCAGCGCGGCAGAGGTCAGGGACCAGGAGGGCGTGGATCTTGCCAGCTCAGATCCAGCTGAGATCTACTGAAATGATTGTTCGCGCTGAGTGTGTCCACCCGGTTTTAAGTGGTGGCTGTTGAGATCTCCTTCTGCTTCCTCCTCTCATGGATACCCCCACCCTCAATATCCAGCCTGGATGCTTTGGCGGTTTTTTTGCGCGTAGGACGCAAAAGAAGGCGCCGACGCACGCGAGCGCCCTGCAGGAATCATCTCAAGGTTTGTCTCACGAAGGGTGCTTGGAGATAACTCACACTGCAGAAAAAAAGGTTGGCAATTTGTTTCCAGTGCGAGGGGGATTTCTGACGATGCGCGACATATTAAAGGAGGATCGATACTATAGCGCATTTCACGACTTCTCTTATGGAAAACAAGACGACTGGTGGATTGTTGGCCACCACGAACAGCTTCCCCCGTACCTGCCCAAAGCCGACGTGGCCGCGAGATCTGGCGACATCTCGAGCTTGATCGAACAGTCATTGGATAAAATCAACGGCAAACTACGTGAACTCAGCCTAAAGATCCACGGTAATTATATCTCATTCCAATTTTACAACTCTTCTGACTCGAATACAGATCACCCAGAGACAAATTTCGAGGAAAAGTAGGTTTCGTCGCAATGTTGCTGCCACCGGAGAACCCTCCTTACACCCGCAACTCTATAGGTTCGCCCATGACCTCCTGACCAACTTCATGGAGAAGCAGGGCTTCGCCGTGACCAGACATTATTTGGGTTTAGACACCGCCTGGCGCGCAGAGTACGCCCAAGGTCAAGGCGGGCGTGTCGTGGGCATCAACTCCGAGATGGACGCCCTCCCCGGGCTTGGTCATGCCTGTGGGCACAACCTCATTGCTATCGCTGGCGTCGGAGTCGCCGTAGCGCTCAAGACAGCGCTCGAGGCGCGTCGTGACGTCGCGGGCAAGATCGTGCTTCTGGGAACACCAGGTAATATCTCCGCTGGCCTGCCAAGCCACGAGCAAATTTAAGCTGAGCATCGTGCTGCTTTTTTTTTGTTACTTCACCTAGCCGAGGAAGGCGGGGGAGGGAAGATTATCCTCCTTGAGCGTGGGGCGTATAAGGAGATGGACGTCTGCATGATGTAGGCTATCTTTAGAAGGGATGAGCTTGGGATGAGCGTCTCTTCTGATTTTTCTTTGCATTTCAGGTGCCATCCAGCGGCTGGCGCTGTGCATTCGACTAGCATTGCAAGTACAACCTCTATGCAAACAATATATGCCGAGTACTCTGGTCAGAGGTAGGATCTCTGTTCGAATCGGAAGTTTCATGGCAAATTAACTTCACCTCCACTTTGCCCAAAATAGCGCCCATGCAGGACAGGCTCCTTGGTTAGTATAATTAAGTTCTGTCGTGTCAAGTAAGAAAAACTCGTGGCGCTGACACCCTAATCTCAGGGAAGGCACAAACGCACTGGATGCCGCAGTCCTCGCCTACTCCAGTATATCCATGCTGCGTCAACAAATTAAGCCGGATCATCGGGTGCACGGCATCATAGCAGGGAACAACTGGCTCGCCAATGGTAAGCAGGCCCCTTCTTATCATGCTCTTGGGTATAATGTGTCCATATAGTGATCCCGGATAACTCAAAAATGAAATGGATTGCTCGTGCACCGACCTCTCTGGAAGTGAGCGTGCTCGCGGACCGCTTAATCAACTGTATGAAGTACGTTACTCCGCCCGTCCACTTCAGATGGCTGGTCTCATGTTCCAACGTTCTAGAGCAGCAGCCATTGCAACGGGCTGCGAAATTGAAGTAAAGCTCGGGCCTGCTTACTTTGATCTCCGTCAAAATTCCGTGCTTGGTGGGCCTCCTTTTTGCCCAATGTCTGCAACTTCACCTTCGAGTGGAGTTGCAATGTCGCGTTTCCCCTTTTCTTTACTCACGGCCATTCAATAGCCCAAGACTTCACCGATATCGTCGGGAGTCGCTACGGACTGCCGACACTCTCAGGTGAACACTCTGCATCTACCGATTTTGTGAGTAAATATATATGACCCTTATGGCGCTCCGCGAGCTGACAATATTCGCTCACGTAGGGTAACGTATCATATGGTAGGTCCCATTCGGCGGTACTGGCTCTAGAATGACGTTGATC